CCCCCCACCCCCCCCCACCCCGATCTCACCATCGGGCTGGATCAGCACTTGCTGGCCGATGCCGACCGATCTTCGATCACCTCCATGCGATCGGGGGACGCACAGCGACATTCCAATGGATTCGGGTCCATCCTTTTCAAAAGTGCTCGGGCGCAACGACTCCGATCGCGACCGGGGGCTGGCCAAATAGCCCCCTCTTTCGAGGAAACAGCCACATACCGGACGCATTCCCCCACCAGCTTCCTGTGCGACGAGGCTCCGCCGGCCTTCGGCACTTCAACACCACGCACACGTGGAGATCGGGAGAAGCACACAGGATACCCATCGGCGGGGGCGGAGGGCATGGCATCATACTGGCGCCTCTGGCCTCACTCCCTGTCCATCCACCCGCAGGCTGCCCCCCCCCCCCCCCGGGGGGGAAGAAGGTTTGAAAGGGCGCCCACCCCCCCCCCCCTCCCCCCCCCCCCCCCCGGCGGCCCCCCCCCCCCCCGGGGGGGAAGAAGCTTGAAAGGTCGCAACCCGCTGTCTCGATGCACCCAACACCCAAAGTGCTGCCCCCATCAGCTCTACATTTCCGCGGATGGCGAGCTCACACGTGCACGCGAGAAAGCCAGAGCCGGGTGAAAAGCCAGGGCGAGAGCACACCCGGGGTCTAGACCGCGCAGCCGCGACCTTGACTGGAGACCGGCTCTGATCCTGATTAGCATCGCAAATCCAGCAGCGCATGTGCTGATGAAGTAAGAACGTCCACCTCTCTCTGCCTCCGGTCCCATGAGGTGGAAGCCCGGCTCTCGAGCGCAGGCACGCGCGCGAGCCGAGCATGAAAAGGGATGAACACCCGCCGGCCGGCATGTTCTGCCCGTCGCGCAGGGCACCGCACGATCGGCCCCTGGGTGAATTGATTGTGGAGTTGACTCACTCTGAAATAGGTGGACATGTGATGAGCACGGCACGTGAACCTGGGCGTCGCGTGTGATGACGAGATTTGGCGGGCCGGCCGCCACCGCCCTGGCTCCCTGGCGCGAGACGGCGCGGCGCCCCTAAAAAAAAAAAGGAAGGATGGCCCGGCTGCGGACGCCTGTTTCGCGCGCGCGCCCGGTCCCCAGGGCGCTGCACCGAGAGAACGAGGCAAAGAGCTCCAGGGGCCCAGCCCCGGAGGAGGAAACATGGTCCACCCCGCCCCCTCCCCCCGCAAGATGGAAAAGCGCCCCTCGCAAGCATGGGCTGCTCGCTGTCCCCCTGGCGAAGGTGCAAATCTCCACGGTCGGGCCTATCCCCAACCTCCGCGCACCGCAGCGCAAACACAGGAACCCCTGCCCGGCTCCATGGCCCACACACACACACACACCACAGGTCACCGTTCCAGGACTGAGGAGACTGCTCCCCTCCCCGCCCGACCTGCCACCAGGGAGCCCAGCCATGGCCCCGGCACGGGCCGGGAGGGGAGGGAGAGGACAGACGCGGACAAGCGCGGACTGGAGTAGGGACACACATACACACGGGCCGGAGAGAGTCCCCCCCGGCGCAAGAGGGAGAGGAGATTCGTGAGAAAATAAAGGGTTTATTGTTCTAGCGTGGACGACATCATCATCATCGGAGCCCGACAGAAGGAGGAGGAGGAAAGACAACCGACCACCAGAGGGAGGAAGGGAGGACAACAGCGACACCCCGCTGCGCGCACATGCGGGGACATGCACACAGAGAGTGCCACAGAGCCAGGCCCTGCCGCCCCGCACACCCCGGCCGCGCCCCTGCACAGAGACGGGGGAGGGAGGAGGGGGTGGTGACCGGCGCCAGATGGCCGCCACCGCCAAAAAAGGGCGGGCGAAGGACGGCGACCAAGAGAGCAACAGCCACGGACGGAGGGGCAGCGAAACAGCACCACGCGCTTCCATCACGCCGGCGGTGACACCATCGAGCAAGCCGCCGCCGCCGCCGCCGCCTCCGCCCCCATCGTCACCGGACGAGAGGAGCAGGGGGAGGAGGAGGAGGAGGAGGAGCAGCACCAGCAGCGACGAGGGCCACCGGCCGGCGGGGGAGAGCAACAAAGGAGAGCGCGCCTCCATGCCGGCCGCGACAGCAGCCACCACTCGCTTAGAAGTCCTTCTTGAGCTTGCCCATGAAGGACTGCTTCTCCTCGAGGGTCTGGAAACGGCCGTGACCGAACTTCGAAGAGGTATCGATGAACTTGAGGGTGACCTTCTCCAGAGCAGAGCGCTTGGTGTGGGTGATAAGAGACTTGCGCAGGGTGAGCACGCGCTTCTTGACACCGACGCAGCAGCCCTTGATCATGAGGAAGTCCTGGTTGACGACACCGTAGTGGGGGAAGCCACCCATGGGGGTGATGGACTTCTCGGTGAGATCGTACTCGGTACCGGCGTTGTTGAAGACGGTCTTGCCATCGACGGTGTGGATGCCCTTGCCGACGCGGTAGATCTTCTTGTTCATCTCAGTGCGGTGGTAGTAACCGAGCTGACCGGCACGAGCGACGGTGTGCTCGAGGCGGGCCGGGTGCCAGGCACCAACACAAGCGACCTTGCGCAGACCACGGTGAGTCTTGCGCGGCAGGCGCTCAACACCCCAGCGCTTGACGACACCCTGGGTACCCTTACCCTTGGTGACACCGATGACGTCGATCATCTCATCCTGAGCGAAGACCTGGTCGACGCTGATGGACTTCTCGAAGGACTGCAGGGCGAAGTTGACCTTGTCGTCGGTGGAGCCACCGTTGACCTGGATCTCCATCAGGTGGGCCTTCTTCTGGCCGAGCTTGAGCAGATCCATCTGGGTGTGGGCGAGGACACGGACGATGGTGGCGTACTTGCGGATGCGGCTGACGTCACGGTCGATGGCCTTCTTGCCCTTCTGGTACTTGGCGGAGTACTTGGTGAAAGCCTTCTTCTTGGAGCTGTACCAGTTCTTGTAGAAGCGGCGCTTGACCTGGTCGGACAGGTGCTCGGCCCAGACGGTGGTCAGGGCGCGCAGACCACGGGGGGTCTCGATGTAGCCGACAACACCGACGACAACCATGGGGGGAGTCTCGATGATGGTGACGGCCTCGACGACCTCGCGCTTGTGCATCTTGGAGCCCGGGCGGTCGAGGTCACGGACGACGTGGGTCATGCCGGCCTTGAAACCGAGGAAAGCGGTCAGGTGGCAGGGCTTGGTCTTGTCGTCCTTGGGGAAGGCCTTGCACTTACCGCGGTGGCGGGAAGAGCGCTTGCGGGGCTTGAAGCCCATAGAGCCATGGCGGGGAGCCTCGAACTTGCGGTGAGACTAGGCACACACAGGCACACACAGGCACACAAGAAGAAGCATGAGCAGAGGCGGGGGAGGAGCAGGCGCGAGTTAGTGGGAGGGGATCCGGCATGCATGTGAGGGGAGATGGGACGAACGCCGGGGGGGGGAGAAAGAGAGGAACACCACCAGGGAGGCACTCATGCCGGCGCGACGGCGGCGGCAGCAGGAGCAGACAACAGAGAGGCGAGCACGATGCGCGGCACACATCGGATGCATGAATTGCATTTCACATCCGACGACATCCGAGACATGGCGAGAAGGGGGAGAAAACCCGACGCGCTGTCAACCGGAGCAGAGCGGTGTGCCGCGTGTGCGTGCGCTCGACCGGCCCGAGACCAAGTCGGTCGGCCGGCCGAGCGAGGACAGGCACCCCTCGCCGAGGGGAGGTCCAGGCACAGCGTGCGTCCACGCGCACACGCTCGTGACGGGGGGGGAGAAGCCCAAGCACGAGGGACGCGCGGCCGCCGCATCGATAGAGGAGAGGGGACAAGGGGAGACAGCGAGGGACCAGACTGCACGGAGTCTCTGCCTGTCGCTGCTGCTGCTGCTGCTGCTCTTGCTGCCGTCGCGCGGGGGGAGAGGCCACAGAGGCGAGGGGGTGGGGGGGGGGTGGGGGGGGGGGGGGCAGGGAGAGGAGAGGGAGGAGGCAAAGAAAACTTACCATCTCGATTCGACTGCGATTCGGAATGAAAACAAACTCAAAGCGCAAACGGAAGAGGGAGACAGCCTGGGGCATCGGACACCACACTGGCTCCACATCAAGGCACCCTCCTCGTCCCTGGGAGTTCTGCGCCCGCTCCGCACACACACACACCCCCTCCGCCCCCCCCCCCCGGAGGAGGGCCGGGCGAGCCTGGGGGGAAACGGGGGGGGGGGGGCCACGAGCCCATGCCCTCTGCGCCCCCGCCAGGCGCGCGCCCGGCGCCAAGAGGCCGGCGCACAAGACCACCCCCCTCTCCCCCTCTCCCGGGGGCGGGCCACCAGCCGCGCGCCGCGCACACGCACACGCGCACACACGGCACCCGCTCCCAGGACGACGGCTCGGCCTCGCGAGAGGAAGAACCCTCGCCCTTGCCCCTGGTTGGACATTGTGTACAACTCCCAACCGGACGCAGGGGCACACATCCCCTGCCCTCCCCCCCCCCCCCCCC